TTTTTTTTTTTTTAGAACAAAATAAACAGTTAATAGAATTTCTCAATTGTACAGTTCAATAGATTCAATTGAACCTGTTATTTTGTTTTTATGGCAGATAAATTGATCCTGATCAAAGAAAACAAGACCTGGAAGGAGGCCTTGGATTACTGCAGAGAGTCTCACAGGGGACTGGTCTCCATCACTAACCTTCAAGAGCAGGAATGGGTCCAAGACAAATCCAAGAATGCCTCGAGTCCTTTTGTCTGGCTCGGCCTGCGCTACTCCTGCACTCTGGATCTGTGGTTCTGGGTCAATGACAAGGTGGTCTGCTATGAGAGGTGGAACAGAGAGGGAAAGACTGAGGAGTGTGGCAGGGCTGTGGGCATGCTGAGTGGAGGACAGTATGAGTGGGTCAGTCAGAGAGACAATGAGAAATATAATTTTATTTGTTCTTTAGAATAAGATTTAATCATATCTTAAAGATTTCACTCTGAGGTAAACTTCTTTGATTGTTTAGTTTCGTATTTTTTAGACTTTTCATGTTCTTCATTAAATTTGGTTTCCTTAGTTTCTTCTTGACTGTCTGATTCAGTGATATTAGACTTACTTACTTCACAATTGCTGCATTATTCAGTTTTTACACTTTTATTGTTAGATGTTTTGTTTATCATATTTGCTGTTATCTTTTGAGTATGTAAATAGCAATTGAATAAATATAAATAAAGTATTTTAATATTTTTAATCTTTAATATTTACCATATGATATAAATCAATCTCACTGAGAATTCAGGACAATTCATGGCAAAAAAGACTTAAAACTAATCTTTTTTTTCATAATTATGTGTTTGAAGTGACATGTTGTAAACTGATCATTTGCGTCTGTGAGGACAAATAAACTGAGTTGCAGGTGTAACAGTCTACACTACTTACAGTAGTTCTCTGAGCACCTATTTCTACACAGATTAACATATTAATATTTATTTTAAATCATTAGGAAACCAATTGCACTGTGTTTTCAAATAACATTTAAAATTCGCCAACACAAAACTCTCCAACAGACACACAGAGTGAACTGAAACAGAGTTCATGACAACATCTTTTCTAGTGTTTTATGACGTTTTCCACCAATAGAAACCTTCCACTTGTGGTTCATTCATGGCAAGCTTTCACCTGGGGTGAGAGTTGAATATTTCAGCAGTGAAGCTCCAAGATTTAAAGCCATCACATCTACAGCAACAACAAAGGAGTTGAAAAAGCAACAAATAGCAGCGTCAACCACAGACCTCTCTAAAGACAAATATGAGCTATTAAAAAGAAAGTCATCATTTAAATCAATGTATTTAATTGTTATTTCACTGTAGTGTAGTTCAGAAACCAAAACAAATTCGAGAGTATTCACATAGACTATGACAGCCAAACAGTACCATCTAGTGGCTTTACAGGTTCACACCAGAGTAAACATGTATTACATTTCTAATGCGTGTACAGATGTGACTGTTACACTTTATCCACAGCAAATAATACACGATGCTAATGTGATTTTACAGGTTTCTACTACAGACCATGTTAGGAAAAACAAATATTTAAGTCCTTCCCCAACTCACCTATGGTGGGGTTTTTAAAATGTAAAATGAGTGCTAAAGAAACCTGTGCATGAAGATAGAAGTGAAATGTTTGGTGTAAGTAACCAGGTCAAACCAGATCTTTTATAGGATGTGAGCTGGAAAGAGTAGGAGTTTTGTTGTTCAACCATTTGCAGAAATTTAAAGTAATTCGAGAAGTGTGAAATTACCTTTAAATTGTGTATGTGCATATATGACATGTGATTTATAATGTTATGATTATTTGTGAAAACTCATGTTCTTTGTCTCATAGGCCAGTTTGAATTGAGAAGGCTTTGTTTGAGAGTGTGTAAAGGTGGAC